TGTACAGGGAGAAAGGAAGAGGTTACGACACACCAAAACCAGAGCTGCCTGGCCCAAGTGAGTGAATATATATCAAACAGAAGGAGCTGAATAGCCTTGATGATCCTTCAGGTGGGCTTGGTAAACAACCTTTGGAGGTAAAACCCAGAAGGCATCAAAGGAAGCAGAGTGAGATAAGCTTAACAAGATGAATGGAGTAGACTGAATACAAGGGTGTCAACCTTAAACCTGTGCAAACTGGCAAAGAAGGAGCTGAGCTAATTTTGGAGTCCTCGGAGTTGTGTAGGCTTGCCTGGAGGGACTACTTAACCCTTTACAAGGGGCAAGAACATCTTGCTGTGTGACTTTTGCCTTTATGAAAGAGGAGCTGTCTGCTTTGCTGCTTGGGACTTTGGGATGCATATCTTCTCCTTTTGAAGAAGTAAAGTCCCTCTCCTGGGAAATTAGTAGGAATGTTCAACCCTGATGCAGGGTCATGGGTAACCAGGCAGGATCAGGGAACAAACAACCAGGTTCTCAGAGTCAGAAGGAGATGGGACCCACCTTACTCCAGAATTCACACCTGGACTTTACTCAGACTGTACTTCAGGAGCTACTCAGACCAGACGATGCTGAGGGTCCCAAGCAAGTGCTTCCCTCTCCCCTGCTCCTGGGGGAATCCACAACATGCCTCTTTGGGTTCTCATCAATCAGTCTCTGATCCAGAATCCCCCTGGGACACTGGGGATGTGACAGATAGGTTGGTAGGTCAGAGTTTCTATCTCAGGTGCTTCCTGGTGTCTAGTCCAGAAACCTACCACTGCACCTCCAAGGCTATGCTGTAGAAAGTCTTCAAGAAGTGTGGAATTCTCCAGGGTCACAAAGATGACTGAGTAGCAGCTAGAGCGGCCAGTTAAGACAGCCTCTCTGCTACATTGATTTCCCACTGGCTTGCTTCTCAGTACCGCAGCCTCAAGTCAGGTCCCCTATCCCAAATTCGAATCCAAGGGCAGAGTCTCTCCCCAGCAAATGAAGCCACAGAGAAGATGAAGATTGAGGATTCAATATCAGCATCAAAAAATTCCACCCTCCCCTCTTCATAGTTCAAATAGACCCCAACCCTCCTGAGGATCTGGCTCAGGGACAATGGGGTGCGATCAGGGGCAGTGAGAGCCCGGTACCTACCTCCCAACTGCACCACAGCCCAAATCCCCACCTGAGGGTTAGGGCTGACCTCTCCTTTCCTCTGCACAGACTCTCTGGCAACTCCCACAGCCCAGGCTCCCCCCTCCCCAACCTCCACCTCCCAGTAATGTCTTCCCGAGGCGAACCGCTCGAGGCCCAGCACACAGAGCTGAAAGTCAAATCTCCCAGGATTGTCAGGCAGATCCTGTCGTGTGTCTCCCCATCTCACACTTTTTTGATCCTTAGACAGGACAAGTTCAGGATGAGCCGTCTCTGGATCGAGAGTCAAATTTGCTGCAGTGGGGAAAAAGAGAGAGACATAGAGCATCAGATACAGAGTCCAGTGCTGAGGGACGATTTCATCTTGTGAGTGAAGATATCATCTCCAGCTCAAGGGTAAATCAAGGAGCCTGCTTCCTCCTGGATTTACCCAGCTGTGGATAGAAAGGAGCTCTGAGGTCTCAGTAGAGGCCAGGGTGGACTTACCCCCTGCAGCCAAAAGATGGGTCAGTGACAAAAATGCTGTACCGCAGCTGTAGCTAAAAATCATTCCCAACCTGCACCCACCTGTCCTCAGGGATGGACCTAAAAACTCTGGAGACTCAGGGGAGCCCCAGCAGTGTGTGTGACAGGGAGAACATGGACACAGCTCCATCTCCCTTTGCAGTTTCTAGTCTCCATCTTAAAATCTCATTATGTTCCACCTACTCCACTTTCACCACCTCATTCTTAGATTCTGGTGCACTCGTTCACCTAGAGACATCCCCAGTCCCAACAGGCCACAGCCAGAGGTTGGAAACTCAATAAAGAACATGGCCGAACAATTTTGTATGTCCCAGATTTCACTACTAAAAAGCAGATCCTTAGCTCTCTGGGGCCTCAAAGAAAGGAGCAGCCTAACTCCATGATAACGGGGAGTGAGAAAAATAGATACACACAATAGCAAGTGTTGCATGGATGTAAAATGGGAATAAAGTGTACGTGTGTGTATGTGTGTTTTGGGAGACCCAATGAATAAAGGGCTGAACAAGAAATACAACAAAACAACTGTAGCAAATGCGGGAAGAGAAACTTAATGAAAAGAAACAGGAGAAAGATATCATGGTAGTTAGAAGGAGAGAGAAAGAAACCACAGAAACTGCTGGAACCAAAACAGTTCTGCTGTTCTTCACACTCAGTCAGGATCCCTATGTGCAGAGGACTCTGCACTCACTATTTCTTAATGGAGCAAAGAGGACAAAGGAAAGAAATCCTGTAGGTCAAAGGAGACCACTGCTATGTCTGCTGGATCTGCCACTGAGAATCATGGATTGAAGGGAGAATCACATCTACCAAAAGGTCAGAGCTGATGAATGGAGGGAGACTTGCCAATTATTCCTTAGCTTCACTTAATGTGAGGGCATGCAAACATTGGAGAGAAGCAGTGACTAAAGAGTTTATTGTTCACTGGGTGTGTCCTTTTCTCATGATGGCAGTTCACGCTAAGCCACAAAATACAATTCTGCCCTATATCTGAGTTTACATAGTTGCAGAGCTATTTGGGTGTGCCGCATGTACCTAATAGTATCTGTATGAGGTGAACTTCTTCCTCCAAATAGCAGGAGGTGCTTGGCCACATGGGACCCCAGAAAAGCTTCTGAAAATTGCTACCAAGTAGCCTAGAGCTATTCTGGGCCCATTCGCAGCCTTTGACCGCTTCTCCTTCCCACATTCTCCAGACGTGTTGGAGTCCCTTTATAACTGCTCTGAGAAGTCTATGGGTCCCCAATAGGATGGGGACATCTAAATAGCATGGATTCCGTCCCGGGAGAGAATGGGGGGAAGGACCTCAGACAAAAAGGGAAAGTTATGAGAGGCAGGAGGGACAGGAGAGAGAAAAACAAACACATGGGGAAGATAAAACAAGAAAAAAAACACTTACCTTCAACAGGAGCCGCAACACAGCAGAAACAGAGGGAGAAGCCACGTGGCTCATTAGCCGTGTCTTTATTCAGCTGAGGCCAGACGGTGACATCACCAGTAATCACCGTCCAGCAGTAATAAAGCGGGCCAACGGAGGAGGAAGAGGGGAGGAGAAGATGAGGATAGACCCGGGGAGTGTGGGGACGCCAGGCCCCCTCCGGGATTCCCACTGGGAAGAGAGAGCTGTGAGCAAGGAGCCAGAGGAGGCTCCTGACACCAGCCACAGCAACAGCGGCTGGGAACAAACCGCCAGCCCCAGAGGCAAGCGGGAAGCAGCTCCACTAGTCTGCAAGGTTTTCAGCTGCAGGGGAAACAGTGGAGGACACGCAAGAATCATCACCACCGCAGGTGGGAGCATTGGGGGCTGGAGGGAGGAGAAGGAGCTCTACCCGGTGAGAGAGCCCTAGCAAAAGCAGCCAGAAGGACTGCAGAGAACTCAGGCATTGACCCCAAGTGTGGGAGAGAACCAGCAGGGAACAGTGAGGCACCCGGTTAGGGCCGCTCCAGGAAGAAGAGGAGCAGGATAGCCCAGGGCTTATAAAGGCAGGGGAAGGAGGGGAAGGGAGGACCTGAGCAGGAGGTCAGCCCCTAGCCAGACTGTAGAGAGCTCGGCACCCAGGATCTCTGATATTAGAGACCTGGGAGGGGAGTCATTTTTTGTTCTTTTTGTGTTTCTTTTGAGTTTCCCCATGCAAAGGGGTTGAGGGGTAGGAGGTTAAGCTAAAGTAAGAGAGACATGGCGAAATTCATAGGGCAGCATGCCAAGTCAAGGGTTCAGGGAAAAGCTCATCCTAGGAGAGTACAGACACCACAAGCAAGACCGGTGAACACAACCTAGGACAGAATAAATGACTCGGCCTCGGAAGCCGGTATCTGGGACAGGAGAAAAAACGGGAGGGTCCACGGTAGTAGAAGAAGAGGTACATGGTCATGAAGATGGGACAACTCATCGAGGTTGTGTGAGAACGGGGTGTAAGGGTGGCAGAGCCCTGCGTGACCACCAGGCCACCTGTGCCATAGAAGATCCCAGGGTAGTCATTCCCCCCCACTGGAAAACATTCAAGTCATGGCAGGCAAGATAGGGGAAAGTTTCCCACGGAGGAAACATCAGCACGGCATTTTTCGGGAGGCTGCAGGGCATACACCCCTCAGTGAGTGAGCCAAGGCAGCACGTGACCGATTACTCGAGACCCGGCGGTCACAGATTCATTGCAGGTAGATCCTGCCTAACTAACCTTGTTTCATTTTATGACCAGTCACAAAATGCTTAGATGCAGGAGTTGGGGTAGATGTCATCTACCTAGACTTTAAGAAGGCCTTTGAGACAGTATCTCATTCTGTTCCCATAAATAAACTGACAGGCTGTGATATAGATGATTACATGGTCAGGTGGGTGGCAAATTGGCTTCGGGGTTGCACCCAGAGAGTGTTGGTGGATGGGTTGGTATCAACCTGGAAAGATGTGGGCACTGGAGTCCCACAAGGCTTGGTCCTTGGTCTAGTGCTATTTAATGTTTTCATCAGTGACTTGGACAAGGGTGTGGAGAGCACCCTGTCCAAGTTCACAGCTGATACCAAATTATGGGGCAAAGTTAACACACCAGAGGGTAGGGAATGGATCCAGGCAGATCTGGACAGGTTGGAAAAATGGGCAGCATGAAATAGGATGTAGTTCAACAAGGACAAGGGCAAAGTGCTGCACCTGGGCAAAAAGAACAACCAACACTTGTCAGGCTAGGGGACAACCTTCTCAGCAGCACAGCAGCAGAAACAGATCTTGGAGTCATAGTTGACTCCAAGATGAACATGAGTCGTCAATGTGATGAAGTGATCAACAAAGCTAACCACACTTTATCATTCATTATCAGATGCATGACGAACAGGTCCAGGGAGGTGATCCTTCCCTTCTATGTGACACTGGCCAGGATGCAGTTGGAGTACTGTGTCCAGATTTGGGTGCCGCACTTCAAGAGGGATGCAGAGAATCTTGAGAGGGTTCAGAGACCATTCATATGGTCAGAGGCCTGTAGGCAAGGCCCTATGGGGAGAGACTGAGGGACCTAGATCTCTTCAGCCTTCACAAAAGAAGGAAGAGATGTGATCTTGTGACTGCCTATAAATTTATCAGGGGAGGGCAGACAGGAATAGGAGATGCTCTATTTACTAGAGAACGCCCTGGAGTAACTAGGAACAATGGCCACAAATTGACGGACAGCAGATTTAGGTTAGACGTCAGGAAGAACGTCACAGTGAGGGTTGTCAGAATCTGGAATGGGCTTCCAAGGGAGGTGGTGACCTCCCCTACCCTGGGGGTCTTCAAGAGGAGACTGGACAAGCACCTGGCTGGGGTCGTTAGACTCCAGTGCTCTTTCCTGCCCAGGACAGGGGGTCAGACTCAATAACCTACTGAGGTCCCTTCTGACCCTAACATCTATGAATATATGAATCTATAAAACCCTCAAAATAAAAAGTTTGGCCAAAGAACTCATATGTCCTTTCACTACAGTAAAAAACATGTTCATGGCTCAAACTTTCGTTTTAGAGTTAGAGTATATAAGAAAAATAAAGAGGCAATCTCAAGAAAAGGAGAGCTTTTAATATTGATTCAATACGATCTTTCATTACCTGGGTGGGCTGCAGTTCTTCTCCACCCTGAAACCAAATGGAGAAGCAGGGGTGACAAATCATCCAAATAAACAAAGAGAACTCAGATGAAAAGCAGCTGGCCAAGTTGAATCCAGGCAAGACCAAAATGATGCTGGACAGAAATGGGACAATATGTTGGAAAACTGGCTGAGATACAGGATCAGTAGAATGAAAGGACAGTACCACCTGCCTTCATCAACATGGTATAACACTTAAGTCTTGTTTAATCCCTCAACAACTTCCTGCAAGTACCATCTGTGTGTCAAGTTTGTTTGGTAAAAAAACACAGGAAATTGTCCTCACTAGTCACTCCTCAGCTCTAGGACTCCTTCCTCTTTACAACCTGTCAAAGTCCCAACTTGGACATTTTCTAGAAGTGAAATAAGTGAAGCCTTTTTATTAGGGCTGGCTTTTAGCAGGAGGAGTTAAGTTTTGAGGTCCTGTTTGGGAAGCTTATTTCATACAATCTATTTGAATATTGTCTGTTTTTATCATTTATATTTTTTTTATTATAAGTCACCCTGAGCCTTTTGGGGGCAGCATACAGATCTAATAAATAAATTATAAACCTCAGCCACCAAGCAATGTCTCTGTCCAAAGACTTCAGCTCACTACAAAACTCCACTCCCTCCTTCTGGATGAGGAACTACTTCAGTGATCCTTGCATTTGTTACCTCCAGGCTGGATGAATGTAATCCACTCTATTAGAACAGAATGAAAAGTATCTTTTCAGCACAGTGAGAATTAACCTTGCAGTGCTGAAGATTTCTGCTGCTAAGAATGAATGAACCCCTGTCCTACCACAACCAAAGGTTTTACTCGCAGCAGGGGAAGAGCTAGGGGCCCCATGAAATCTACTGGGGACATTTCTATTTTTATCAAGAATTTATGTGCAAGATGCTCAGATGGTACAGTGATGGGCAGCAGGATAAAATTATGATGTAGAGAGATTTAAGATCTTGGAAAAGGCAACAATAGAGAAAAGGAAACACTCACCAAGTTCTAGTTGGAGCTCGCCTAAGGAACACACAATGAGAAGGAAAAATGTATTAGGTAAGTGCTTTTCTCACAAGATGGAGAAACACCTCTGAATTTCCTCTCAGGCCTTTCTGCTAGTCTTGACCTGAAGTCTGAAAATCCTGAACTTTCTATATATGGAATTCACTGACTCCAATGGTTTCACTACTATTTCTTTGATCACTTGAGATTTCTCATGTGACGGTAGGAGTAAAAAATACTACAGCTGTGCGAAGCTTCGGTCCCTGATTCGATTTGGCGGAGATTCGGCCCAATTCGGTGGCCAAATCTCTGAATCCAAATTGCATCTGAGGACCCTTTTATCTCTTTGAATCGAATCAGAATCCTCCAAATCGGTTCGGAGAGATTCGGAAAGATTCAGATGTAGATACAGCTTTAAATGTTTTTTCTACATACCGCTAGGTAGCAGGTGGCTCACAAGTGCTGCGATGCTGGGGTGCATGGAGTGTCCCACAGAAGCGTGGAGGGCTCCCCAGTGCACTCGGCAGCAGACCCAGAACTGGCCCAGAAGTACTTCCTGTCCACTTCTGGGTGTGCTGGGGTGGGGAGCACACAGGGGGCCCCCTGCACCTCCCCTGGCTCACCGACTGGTGCTTCCTGGGTCTGGGGGGGTTACCCAGGGTCTGGGTCTGGGGGGACTTGAGGTTGGGGCACCCACTTGCTCCTTGGTAGACCCAGAAGTGGACCAGAAGTACTTCCAGTCCACTTCTGGGTTTGCTACGGAGCACGTGAATTCCCTTCTGAAGAGGATTGTTTGCTTTTAAACTGCTGCTGAACACTAGGTTGATGTTTCAGAGAACTATCTGAAATCTCTTTCTGAGTAATAATAGCTAATTTCATTGTGTATGTGCCTCTCAGGTTATTTTTTCATGCATGCATCACTTTTCTCTTATCAGCATTGAACTTCATCTTCCATTTTCTTGCAGAATCATTCAATTTTATGAGAGCCTTTTACACTTCTTCACAATCAGCTTTGGTCTTTACCATCCTGAATAATTTGCTGTCATCCACAAACTGTCTATCACATTATTCAATTCCCCATTTTCCAAATCATTTCTGATTATGTTAAACAGCACAGTCACCAGCACACACCCTTGAGAGACCCCCCAGCTTACCTCCCTCCATTGTAAGAATTGACCATTTAAACCTACTTTGTTTTCTGTCCTCTAGCCAGTTACTGATCCAGGAGTGGATTCCATTAACAGCCTTTGCTGAAAAGGTGTGTCAAAAGCTTTTTGAAAGTCCAGACACAATATATTAACTGAATCACCCCAATCCATATACTTGTTGGCACCAACAAACAACCGTAGTAAATTATTGAGGCATGTTCTCTGTTTATAAAAGACCCATTGGCTCTTCCCCAGAAAGTCTTGTTCTATATACTTGTCTATATGATAGACAAGTCTATTTTTTATTAAAGCTTCTACCAATTTCTCAGGAACAGAAGTTAGGTTCACTAGTCTGTTGTTCTGTTCCCCCTCCTTCTCCCCCCGGACCACTTTCTAAAGTATGGCACTATATTGCCTACCTTCTATACAGAGGCTGTTTTTAGCAGTAGGTTACATACTGAAGTCAGGCCATTTTGCATGAGACACTTAGCATGTGTTGAATGCACTTAAAACTGCACATTCAAGCAGCATGGCAGGGGCTAAGTGCACCTGTATTGTATTGTAGCAAAATTATCTCTTTTCCAGCAAGTAATATCTCCAGGTTATATTAAGTAACGTACGTTGAGCTAACATCGGACTCTCCATGGAGGTAACATTATCATTTGTGGCCCTAGGGCTGGGACCTACAATCTGTTGATCATGGGTCCCACTCCCAGGACTACATAGGAATCTGACTCCAATGGGTCCCAGGACTGAGATGGTCAATCATCTGATTTTTCAGTGCACTAATTGTCAACTGATTGTCAGTCTCAGCCCCCGCACTGAAACAACTATAGTACTTTCCTGGCACTGGGACTGCAAATCAACAGATAGTTTGTCTTAGCCTCTGCACCACACCAGTCTTGAACCAGTGGGATCCAGTAGCAGGGCAGCACCCTGTCCCATCCTCAGCTACCCATGCCAAAAGCAAAGACCCAACTGGGAAACTGTAACAAGCATTACCATGCAAGTGCTCAGAACATGTTCTAACCTTTGGTAATGTTTACTACACTCTACATAAAACACATGCTAAATGTCCTGCACAACAAGGCCCTCAATAAATCCACAGTTTCACATTTGAGCTCCTTCTGGACTCTTGTTTGAATATCACTCATACATGGTGATCTGTCGCTATTCAGTTTATCACTTTCTTCTATGACCTCCTCTACCGATGCCTCAATTTAAGTAATTTCTACTAATTTGCCCCCTAGAAGGAGTGTCTCTGTTATGAGAATGTCCTTAACATCTTCCAAGATGAAGACCAAAGCACTGAACTCTTTAAACATCTCTGCCATAACCTCATCTTCCATTAATTCTGCTTTTCCCTGATGTCCAGAGCAGGATGCCTGAATTTCTGGCAGGCATCCTGCTCTGACTGTACCTAAAAAAACCTTGTTGTTCTTATAAGTGATAGCTGTAGCACATTTCCCCACAATTTCTCTTTTTGCTTGCCTTATTACAGTTTTCATGTAGCTTGCCAGACTGTATGACCTTTCCTGTTTCCTTCACCCAAAGGAACTCCTTGAAGTATATTACACACACACACACACACACACACACACCCCCCTGAACCCCCAGCTGGAGTTTTCTGAGCAGTTGCTGAGCTAATACCAGTGGTGTTAATGACAGCCATCAGCATTTGTGGGGATTTTCTACTGAAAGAAAATAAATGACCTGATTAAAGTCAAGTGATCTAAGCATCTCCTTTCAGGCAGAACACAAAGAGCAAGCTACTTGTAACCAGAAATACCTAAAGCTACCATCTAAGGCACTGGGCCATATGATGAAGCTTAAGCATCTTCTACTATTAGAGCTGCATCCACATTGCAGGGGGTTTGCCAGTTTATCTACAAAGCCACTGGATATGAGTTTTTCACACCCTTAAGTAATAGCTTTGCCAGCAAAACTTTACAGTGTAAACTGAGCCTAACAGGAGTTCCTATAACTGAAAAATGAGAGGTTATGAAATTGGTTGCAGAGGTGCGTACATACACACAGGGTGCATGCGTGCATGTGGATGTGTGAATATGTTGTGTTGGAGGCAGGAGGCCAGGAAAAGCTTAGAGAGGAGGTTATGGTTTTGACTCTAAAAAGAAGCAAAGAAACAGAGCTTATGGGGCACTGATTTAGGAATTTCAGGAGAGTCAGATTTATTGATTTCTGACCAAGAAAATTACCTACTTTTTTTTATTTCTATGATGTTCAAAGAAACAAGACTTTGGGCACATTTTTCCCTTAAATAAATAAGATCCCACCAGGAATATATCTGCCTCCTACCACTGATTTCCTGTTTTAGGAGAAACAAATCCCCAGCGCTACAAATACAGAACACTACTTGGACGAAAGCATAAGCAGTGTGCAAAGTACATGAAGATGAGTACACTGCTTGGATGAAAGGAGAAGCCTTGTTAACAAGCTGGTATGGAGCTCTTTCTTGCTTTGTACAGGACTGAATCCTTCTGTTCTCCCAATTTGTGGTGTTTCCATTACTAGGAAAATATCCTCCCCACCCCCACCTGTGAAGATACAGCTACATAATATTTCCTTTTTGATTTCCTGTGACTTCTACACATCATTGTGAACAAATTTACAGATAGCTCATGTTCCTTTAATATAAATAATAATAGTGACAATTAAGAGCAATTGACTTCATTAAAAAGACTTATTAAAACAAAGTGTAAAAAGAACTTACTGATTTTTTGAAGATGCCTCCCTAAAACAATTATGTAAATAGAAACAAACACAGGTTATTTAGGAACAGATTATATCCATGCTGATTCAAAAGACTGTTTTCATTATAAGAATTCCTAATACCATGATGATAGACATTGCATTCGTTTTAACTAACCATGTGAATGCATTAGAGATGTCACAAAGAAATCGGCCTATTTTCAAGTTCTAAGGACCATGGGCAGATCCAGGTTTGTAGGGAGGGGAATGGGGCCGCACCTCCTCCGACTGTGTGGCACACGGTCAGTGAAGAGAGCTCCCTATGCGTGGGCGACACCACTGAAGGGGATGCGGCCACACACTTCTCACTACAATCCTGGATGCCGGCGAGCTCTCTGACTTCACCAGCATGTCAGCATGGGCTGGTCATTGTGAGTTCTGCATGTGCTCTGAGCTAGCAGGCTGGTCAGTGTGGGGTCTGGCCAGGGTCCCTCTTTTCCCCTGCTGCTGAATCCAGAGTCTGGGGAGAGAGAAGGGAAAGGAAGAGCCAATAGCAGTGGCACTCCATCCCTGGACTCCAAAGCTGTATGAACGAAGGGGCTTTGACAAGATGCCCTGATGACCAGCTGGTGAGTGTAGTGCTCAAGGCACATGTAGAGCTCCACAGGAGCTGCAATGACCTGCTGGTGAGCTCAGAAAACTCACTGTTCACGCAGCGCACAGCCAAAGAAGGATGCAACTGCGCCACTGCAACTACCTTGGAAGTGCCTCTGCTTGCAAGTAATCCTACCGTAAATCTCCTACATACTGGGAACATCTACATACTCATTATAGATTCATAGACATTAGGGGCTGGAAGGGACCTCGTGAGATCATCGAGTCCAGCCCCTGCACCATAGGCAGGAAGTCAGCTGCGATCAAGTGATCCCAGCAAGAAAAATATTCAGACATTTTTTAAGAGTCCAAAATAGGTGCTTGCAGCACCTCTACAGGAACTCTGTTCCAGACCCTGGACACTCACAACATAAAAAAAAATTTTCTTATGTCTAGTCTAAATCGGCCTTCTTGGAGTTTATGGCGGTTAGACCTTGTCATCCCTTGGGGAGCTCTGGTGAACAGCTGTTCTCCCAGGTCCTGATGTACCCCTCTTATATAATTGTAGGCTGCTATCAAGGCTCCCCTGAGCCTTCTCCTTTCCACTTTTAATGCACTTTTGCTAGTTCACATTAAATTTGGTACCTCTAATGTGAGGTACCTTATGTGCAGTAGTGAAAGTGTACACTTTTTTAGCGATGCTTAATGCACAGTAGGCTATTTTTTACTGCTTATTAGCATATTTGTAGTTACTGATGTGACACTCTAATGCACAGTAAAATAGGCTACTGAGCATTAAAGAATGCATGTAGACATATCCACTCACTAGCTTTGCTGGGAGTTGGATGCATGGAAAAATATAATTTGAGGTTATAAAATTACCAACATGATTCTTCAAGCAATGTGATTTATGATCCCACAAATATTGCAGCCAAAGGCAAAAGACTTTAGTGGACCAGGGTCAGAGCCTTACTCTTTGTTTCCTGAACCCCCCCTCCTCCCCCCCCCCAAAAACCAACAAACAAACAAACTTGTCTTCTCAAATAAAAAGTACCAAATGCTCCCTGTACAAGGAGACAAATTTAAGCAAAGGGTAAAAGGAAGAAGAACGTCTTAGCAATATCTGTATCATGTTTACTTACAAATGAAGTAACAGAATATGAGCTATTAGAAAGCGGGGGTTGTTTGCTTTTTTTTCCTTTTGTTTCCCTTTGGTTATACATTTCAAAGATTTTAATCTTTATAGATGAGATTTACCACTGGTACAAGGGGCTGTGAATAGATGTTGTACAACTGAAGAAACTAGCAAGGTTCATGTTTTTAACACAATTTTTTTTTCTTCTCATATATGTTACATTTCTATGCATTGCCAGTACTAAAGTCAAAGCAGTGAGATTCTGTTGCTATGTCCTTTCTACATGAAGGCTATGTTTTTAATTGCTTATACATTTTTCATCTTAAGCTTTGATACAAAATTTTTACATAGAGTCATACCTGAAAAATCCTGATAATAAAATTAAACAAGCATGTATACAAGAATCTGCTGTTGTACAACCATTTTATTTATTGGAGGAAGAGTAATGACACTTACCAATGTCTTTATGAAGTTTATCTAAACAAATAGAAAAGCATATCAATTAGTATTAGGAAGTGCATTAGGTTATAACAATTAAATGACAGAATTCTCATGGAACAAAGTCACCTATGGTTTGGTGGCTTGATGTGTATATAAATTGTGCATAATTAATGCAACTTTGACAGGTTTCATGCTATTTGCATAAAGACAAAACACTCCAGTGTTTAGTTAATGGGAAAAACCCAAATCATTCCCCATAAAATGAATCTAAACTATCACCTGCATGAGTATCCAACTTTGTACAAGAGACTTACTGGCCAGTTGCAAGAAAAGGACACTCAACCAATTTACAGTGTCCACTGTAACCCAATAGTCTCTGTCCAGCCCAACCTACCTATTCTCAGTTATGGAGAGGGACTACTGGAGTATGCAATATCATATTTTCCAGCATTTTAGCCAGCATGAGACAGAAGCAATCAGTGCTTTGTACAAGACAGATGAACTTTAGACTTCTTTGGAATATGATGTAGACAGGATGTGGACAGATAAAAAAGGGATCCAAGTATCAAGTGATATCGGAATAAACGATCCAATTTAATGATTACATCTGTCCATTCCTTTAGCAGTAAAAATGGAATCAGGCCACTTAAACTTTGCTTCTGTTTTATTTTTCTTTAAGTTTACAGAAGTTTAATTCACTTATCCTGGAATAGAAGAAGACAGATGTAACAGGTAAATATGATGCATATGACCCTGCAGCAAGCCCCTCTTCTTTTTAAATGGCTCTAAGTGACATCTGTTTACCAGTGTGAAGGAGTCTGTAATAGCAACCAGATTCCTTGTCTAGGTCTCTGAAGGGTTTGCACTCTACTTGCTAGCACCAGTGCATTTTCACTGCTAACAGAGGTGACCTGAGCAGGGTGCAAGACCCAGGGTAAATCAGCCCATGTGGGGCCCTGCTCTGATCCTGGACCTGAAGAAGTTGACACCACCAGTGGCGGTAGCAGCAGTGGGGGGGGGGGGGAGGGCCCCCCGCCACTCTGCTCAGCTCCACAGGGCCCCCCAAAGTTTGGGGCCTGGGGCCCAGGGTCCAGGGCAGTGACCCTGATTTGCCCCCCCCTCCCCCCTCCAGGGACGGTCCTGACTGCTAATGTCACCCATGCCAGCTGAACAAAATTAACACTTGGGGCCTAGGGCCCAGGGTCCAGGGCGGTGACCCTGATTTGCCCCCCCTCCCCCCTCCAGGGACGGTCCTGACTGCTAATGTCACCCATGCCAGCTGAACAAAATTAACACAGGTCTGTTCACACATGCTACAATGACATCTTCATTTTGCTGTGTGAGCTTGCCCTTAGGATCGCGTTCCTTACCTGGGCTGTTTTTGCAGCAGAACACCACCATGGTTCCCCATGCTTAGACTGATGAAAAATCCCATTTTTACCCTTTTTTGATTTAGTAGATGAGACAGCTCTTGTCAAATAAAATATTTCCCTCCCCTTGATATTTACCTCTCATTCTGAAGAGACAAACTGCCAGGACCAAGAAACCAAACAAAACCACAAGGTTTCCACACAGCACCACCATCCAGGGATTCACCCTGGGGAAAAAGGGATCTGAAAAGCAAAATGGCACAGTCTCACATTCATCTGCAATAATGAGAAACATTAAATGTGTTTATTCCATAGATATATGTACATAGTCCTCAGCAGGATTAGTCTGAGAGAAGGGTGTCAGTAGGACCCCCTCAGCGCTCTGATCTAAAGAAGGACTCCGACCATCAGACTTTTGACATGGATTAGCTGGTTCCAAACATACCAGCACTTACCTTTTCTTTGGATTAAACCAGCAAGGCTGAGAGGGGGAACACTGGTATGTGGGTAGTTCAGTGTCTCCATATACACTGCCCAGGCTTTTGGGTCCTGGAGAGGTCAGTCCAGCTTCGCTTTATATTTCAAGTGAGGATTATGTTCAGCGAGCTGATGTCTCAGTCTGCACAATTGTATTCTCTTGTGAGAGACGGATGTCTGTCTACTACTGTCAGTGAGTAAATAGGTCAGGTTTGATTCAGTGCTCTTCACAGCACCATACACATCAGAGCCATGTTCTCAGATTCTGCAATGGGATTGATTTCAGTGGGCTTATACCAGCAAAGAATTTGCCTCTCGGTGCTCAGCAATATTCAAAAAAGTCAGAAAAAGCATTGTGTTGCTTTGAAAATCCATTCTCCCAAATATTTAATCTCGCCTTAACATGTATACAGCACCTGTTATTCTTTATTTGCAGTTCTCTTGTTTTATGATGTTTAAATTACTGCATCACTGCGGGATTTTCACAACTGCCTAAGACCTCCTCCACATAGAGAACTAGAGAGTACTGTAGAACCCTTGAGGGAGGATTGGCTACAACTGGAGAATGGATAAGGATTTATCCCTGCACTCCACAGTACTGGCCATTTGAAACTGTCCAAAGAGAGCCCCAGCCCCAAAGAGGTCCCAGGTTAGGCCCAAGACTGGTCCAATGACAGCAGACCCAGCGCTGTGTGCGCCACCCTCATCAAACTTTTGTTAGCCTTGGAAACTAAGTGGCACTTAGTTGTCTAGTGGGAAAATAAGATATGGCCCTTAATCTGTGAAGGAGAGAAATATGGCTTCTCATCCTTGCTTCCTAGATCATTTATACATTTTACATTAGTTGGTTTTTGATACCTCTGTCTGCAAGGACTCCAGTCCAGGGGGTCTCTGCCCACAAGAGAATATGCTTGTCACTGGAGCAGACTCACATTCAACCTTACTTAATATCAAGATCCCATGACTTTCCCATTCCTCACTGCACAGGAGGGGTGGAGGATGCTTCAGCTTGAAGGGCAGAGATGCACCCATGAGACCATTCCATAGCCTGATGTTTAAGGCAGGTTTCTGGGAGGTGGGAACTGTGGGTTTGAATTCCCTCAGACAGGACACAGCCTACAATCCAGGTAGGTCAGCACTGTAACCAGTAGGCTTGTATTTTAATGGTGCAGATATGTTGCTTTTGTCATTGTAGAATTCAACACAAAGTATAAGCTATGCATAAACTGAGGGTGTTTAACAGATTAAGTCCTTCTTGGGGTTTAGGAAAAAAAAAATTAGGAGCTTCTTGAGCTCTAATCTAGATTGCAGTAGAGTCTAGATACCTGGATCATCTCTGAATTCCTGTGATAGAAGTACCTAGAAACTATGTAGTCCAAAATGGGGTGTCTAACATGTTTCTTGAGTGCCAAAGCAGTACCAATCTAGATTGCACTTTGAAATTTAGGAACTAAAATTCCAGCTAAGTACCATGTTGCTGAGACTTCCTATGCCTGAAGAAGGCTGATTGCACTCAAAAGCTTGCTAAAAACTTTTTTCCAACTACTTAGTTGGTCTAATAAAAGGTATCACATATAACCAAAGAACCTCGCCAGCTAAGTACCATTTATTCACCTATATAACCCATCAAGGTATAGCTGTTAGGCTGCATTTCATGCAACAAAAAATTAACACTGCTTTTAAAAACCTGAAAAGACTTAAGCTTTACACAAATTATAGTACAATAATTGGCACACTCAAAAATCTCACTACAAATAATCTTAAGGCCATGGAAACATGCTGGCCTGGTGGTTTGAGTGGGTAGCCCTCCAGAGATTCTTTTTCTGCATTTTCTTGTGTTTGTGTGTTAAGATACAACCGTAGAAAATTCAGGTTCACATGAAACTCAATAGTTTGATAGCCTCAAAACTCACAGTTAAGATAGCTGAAATGACTGAATTCTGGGAAGAGGCACAGATCACCTGTAGTCGCTTCAAAAGGAGAGGACTACATAGCAGCTGTTTTGCTGTAACTGTTACCTGTGCAAGATCCAAGAAGCAGATGAAGCAGAGTTGGAGTTAGAGCCATTTTGTTGTGCTTATATCACTACCAGCTCACACACACAAACCAGCAAAATAGTTGCTCAACGGGCCAGAGCAGCAGTTCCCCCTCCCCTTCTATAGCCACTGCAAGTGCAGATTTATAGATATTGTCAGATCAAAGATAACAGCGACCCATCATCCCTCTTTCTGTGTAGAGTATCAAAACATATAGATAAATACTTCTGGTTTTGTTTTGTTTTGACTGTGCTTTGGTTTATATTTCACTTTGTTTTAGTGGCCTGTGGGATTCGAATGCAACTAACCTGATATATAAATGGCTGATTCCTTCTCTTGATTGAGGAAGTTGTTTTTGATCCAACAGGACAAGTTCTGCTTTGAATGTTGTTGTATAACAATGGCATTTTGAGTTTCAAACAGGCCATCCTCCTTTTGGGATTTTGTTTCAGAAAGTGATGGTAAATGTTGCCCAATGGTATTCCTCCACAGTACTTCGGGCTCTGGGTACCACCCAGCTGATTGACAAGTCATACGGATCCCTCCATCCTGGTAGTCCTCGACAGAAATGAGAGGTACAGAGCCTAAACCTAGAAGAAAAATAGGTATGTTTCTGTAAATCCATGAACCAGTTTTCTAAAGCCTGTGGGATGGACTCTTCTTCGGACTCAAAAGCGTTTATTTATGCAAGATGCCCCTAAGGGCTAAATCCACAAAGGGGCTTAGTCATTGCAGTATCTAATTTTCATGCACCCACCCACATAATGGGATACACATCCCTCACTTAGTTACTCTCAATATCAAGATTCAGGTCATTCTGGGGATGGGCAGATCTAGGATTTTGACAAGAGGGATGAAGATCATGTGGTGCATCATCACATAACACAACACACGATTTTCTCCAGTTAAAGAGAAACTGGAAGATTTACTAATATGGTAGGGGGCCGGTACTATATTACTCAGTTTAAGATCAAAACAAAACCCAATGCAACATTATTTGGGTGTTCAATAATTTGCTAGGTTATATATTATATTTTAAAAATACAACAAATTAGAATACATTGTCAAAAGATATTGTTTTATTAGCCCTCTAGTCGTTATGGTTAAATGTATATCTCTTATTCAGATTCATAAAACAAAGTCTGGCTTTCCTGAGAATCTTGACAGTGCATCCAACACTTCATGGTTAGTCATTTCCCCAATCCATTTTGTGGATCTAGCTATATCTATTTAAGGAATGAATAGAGAGAATGAATGGAGTCTGTCTCTAAATTCCCAGTACTCACAGACAGAAGAAAATCTGTGTATGTAAAGTAAAACAATTTCATGGATTCAGCAAAGAAACTTTTCTGTTTTATTATAAGCAACTGAGAACTAAGCACTTTTGAAGATTTAGCCAAACCATTTAAGAAATTAAATAAGAGTCATGATCATTAGAAAACATGCTAGTTAATACAATGGATGTATTTGTGCTTTTTTTTCTAAATTGGAATAGATAAATAAGAAGGGATCTCATGGATAACCAGAATTTGTGTTGTTCAAAAATCATTTAGGGGAAGAGTTGGATTTGAACAAGTACAGACTGTCATTAGAAAGATAAATGCTTTTGGAAATTGTGCTTTTATAAGAGAAATGAATTCCCAAGATATTGTAAATTGGATAACAAATATTACCAATAACAGTAGGGTCCACATACTCCTTGATGTTGCTATTTTAGATTTACTTTAAGTCAGTAATAAGGATATTATAGAGACTTTCATTAAGGAAAGTTACCTTATATCAAAGGATCAGGAGTTAGGGTAACTGTGTTTGAATTAAAAGGAGGAATGAGCAAGAGTAAATCCTAAAGCAATCAGACCACTATATTTGAATTTAAACAGCACTGATCACAACAAACACTAATGTACCAATCAAGAGTCTACAAAATATTTGCAATCGCATAGATATGAGTGCACGGCAGCTGGATCCCACGTTTATCAAAGTGCCCTTTTCTTTCTCATGAAACACCATTTCTGTGCCCTTCTATGTCCATCAGGAACTTCTCTGAAGCAAGGAAGTCCCCTGGGCATTCTGGGAATTTATGAACTAAAATGCTGAGAAAATTTGGAGTATTTTTTATAAAGTGTGAGGACAATTACTGATTAAAATGTGTACATTGGATTATTTTTAAATAATTCACATACAAGAAAAAAGTATATAGAACATACAAAGATAATACAGACACAAGCCACTGACCTGCTACCTTCAGTTCCAATATGGCTTCTTCATAATCAGCTTCATCTTGAACAAAACAGTGGTATTTCCCTTCATCAGAGAATCTGACATTGAAAATCCTCAAGGAAACATTTCCCTCCACTACTTCATCTTTCAGAAGTGTCGTCCTTCCCTGATATTCTGGAACCTGCGTGCTATTGTGGTCTTTCCCATCCTGGTACAGATGCACATATTTATCAAACTCGAACTGGAACCACCTCACCTGCATGTTCTTAGCATTCCTCTTGGGGGACAGCTGACATGGTAAGAGAATGTCCTGTCCTACAATGGCTGTGAGTGGCCAGTCAGGTCCAATGACTCTAAACTGAGCTGTGAAATGTAAATAAAACAAAAGATAAATAAGCTCAGAGGGAAATTGTTTCCCAAAAAAATGACCACAAGGCAGAAAACAAGGAAAAAATATTTCTTTCTAAATTATAGAAAAAAGTCAAGTTTTGGTTTTGTTTTGGTTTTTTTCCCAGGGGGGAAGGAGGGGCGTTGGATATCTTTATTGGACCAACTAGGAAAGATGTTGGACAAGGTTTCAGGTACAAAGTGAACAGCACTCTCACCCTAGCAAAGCTGTCAGCAACTGAAAATAATCCAATGATGGAAAGGGTCAGGAAATCCTAAATTAACAGCTCCATGATTCTTAATTCTGTTCATGGAGCTCTCCAGTACATTTGAATGAGTAGGGTGTCCTATGTATGTGCAATGTAAATTAACAGCTCCATGATTCTTAAGTCTGTTCATGGAGCTCTCCAGTACATGTGAATGAGTAGGGTGTCCTATGTATGTGCAATTTATGTTTCACCTCAATCAAACATCAGCATTTTCATTGTAATTTTTTTACTGTTCCAACCTCTATAAACACAATGAATATTTGACTTCACATCCCAGTCTGTGATGGAATTTCCAATGGGAGACGCAAAAAGAAAGGGGGACTTTGTAGAACTTGTGGCTGGGTTTTTTTTTTCAGATTTATATAAAAAACAAGAACCACTACAATTTATAAATCAAATGACTAAATAACCCCTAAGCAGCAGCAGAAAACACACTGAAGTCATGAAGTCCCTACCTGATTTCACCCAGCATTTGTTAAAACTAATGCAGAAAATGATCAGAACAAAAAGAGTGACACAAATGTTGAAGATTCGGCACAATAAGGAAACCATCTTCTTTTTTCATTGAAATTTGAATCTGAAAGCCCAAGAAACAGAAGACAAAGTATTAGTCTGGTGAACATAAATCAGTGATTATCACAGCTGGCTATTGGAGTTAAATAGCTGTAGAGAGCAGCACACAGCACATGCAATACAAAAAAAAAAGGATTAAAATGCTCTATTGAGCAAACTCACAAGGTTATAGAACTGGAGCAGTCAGTAAAACTGAGATTGCATTTTATGCCTGTAATTACCCCCTCCCATCCTACCTTACCGCTCATAGATAAAAAAATGTGTATTAGATCTGTGGTGAAAGTGATCTTTTTAGGTTTCCACCCTATTTGGGACTGAATTAGATCCATGTGCAAATCTAAATGCATAATATTGTTCTCTGCTTTGAAGGATAACAGAAAGATAGAGAGAAAAATGACATGACAACCATCCAAGCAACAAAATCACTCCTTAACCACTGTCCTCCTTAACCACTGATACAAGACATGCATAAGTGGATGCAAAAATGTGATTAATATGGATCTGTACACATGAAAGTGTTTTTTGTAATGGATTTCTGAAATATCAGATTAAAATGTCAGAGCAGAACAGTTTCAAAACCCTACCGTGGGGGTGTCTCCTTCAGTCGAGTGCCCGTATTTCAACAATTTGGAAATGCCTTGTTCTGATCCCTTCTTACCGAGTTTGCTCAGCTTAGGGTTCCCTGCGGTACGTTCTGACTCTTATCTGCCACGCCTTGATTTTTTACTGATGTTATTAGTCAGATGTTGCTTGCTCTCTACCGCAATCTGTTACCAGCAACCCACATAAGGATTTCTTCTGGGGCTCCAACCACCCCAAAGTCTTGAAAGCAAAACTTGTGTCACATATACGTGTTAAGCCACAGCAGGGTCAAAACTGCAGATATGCTAGCTCCTGCTGAGGCCACAAAGCCTGCTAAGTTTCAAGGAGATAGGTGCGGGGGGTTGGGGGAAACTGCACCCCAAAGTCTTGAAAGCAAAACTCATGTCAGTGCAGTTTCCCTAAACTCCCTGCACCTATCTCCTTGAAACTTGGCAGGCTTCATGCACTCAGAAGGGGCTAGCATTGGCAGGCGTCATGCCCTCAGAAGGGGCTACCATTCCTGCAAGTTTAACCCAAATCAGGCCAAAAATGACAAAGTTATAGGCTGTTTCAACCTTCCCCATTATAGTCTACGAGTGAAACGTCAAAACAGCGTTGAAACATTTCGACTTGCCCCATTTTGTTTTGAGGCTGTTTCAACGGTATCTGTTCCATCTTGATTTTTCTATTTCGACCTCAAAATGGGTCAAAACAGCATCAAAACAAAACTGGCGGCAAAATTTCGCACAGCCCTAGTAGCTAGCTATACCTATAAAAATTAGGCTTACACCTCACGCTTCACTACTTAAACATTTGCTTAATTCATGTTATCTCACACAGAATGAAAACATGGAATTTTTAGTTTTGATTCAAGATTTTTGTTTTCATTTTACTTTCCAGGATAAGAGTAAAAAAAAATATTTAACTTTACAGTCAAAACTAGAAAAATGCAGTGACAAATGGCAACACACACACACACACACTGTTTTTGGCAGCTTAGTTAAGAGCTACAGTATTTGTTTCTTCCTGTATTTTAAATCAAAGAAGTTATTCTGTTATAAATCTTCCTTTGACTTAACAACTGAAAGAAAGATAGGGCCCAGTGTTTTTTAATAAAGTACAATATAATTAAATTCAATATGCTGTAAATATCTGGTCTTACTTTGCTATGCATATTTGCTGAAATGTATTTTGAATGTACATATAATGTGGATAAAATAATGATTGCAGGATTACTTACTCTTTGTATTAGTAGATGCAAAGTCAAAAAGCAGTCTCTAATAGGGTTTAGGTAGTTAAAAGGTGATCATGCAGTCACAGTTCACTTACCTAATTGGTGCCTTACGGAAGTCTCACTATTTCTAAGGTGTGATCAGCCTCTATCATCAGGTTTGCTAAGTTAGCTATTTGAAATATAAACTCTTTCATCTATCAAATTGAGCAGCTAAATCTTGCTATAAAACAGCCACAGGGTTTGATCCTGGACTTTCCCTAAAGAATTTTAAATAATTCTCTTTGTCTTCCTTACTGCTAAATATGTCTTGCTCTTCCAGCTCTTGCCAAATTAGAAATTGAAAGCAACAAGAGGAGGAAATTTGGCACAATTTCAAACCTTGTCATGTGGGTAGAGAAGTGACTCTCTTAAAGAAACAGCATTTGTGATATGCTGAAAGAGTCAGCACTAGCAGATTGAAATATTCAGGTTTCGCAAATTACTTAAATATAGTGATGATTTTGAAAAGACTCATCTTGCCTTTTTCCTAAATAATAGTAAATCAGAGACATAATGATTACAGTGTTTACCATATGATCTCCTTCAGATTAACCTCCCCACCCCTTCCATTAGATCACTGGAAATAGTAATACTTTTGTATTACCAAAGTGGAGTTTAACCATTTCTTTATTGCTATGGCATCTGACGATAAAAGCCCAGATCATCTGTCTCGAGGAGTCTTTAAGTACATCTATGTGAGGTATCCCAGGTCCTCAATTACTCAAAGAGCAGGATTTTTTTCTCATGCTAATACAAATATAATTGCTTCTGGTATCTGAATCGACTCATTTAGTGCTCATGATGTAAACTATACACTGTGCTGCACTGGACTGCACAGATGTAACCACAAATCTATGACTTAGAGAGATTGGAGAAGGAAAGACTTTTGGGGGATATTTTTTATTGGAACAATTTATAGTTGGGAGAAGTATTAGCCAAACATCACCCTTCCTCAGGTCTGCAGACTGGGATGCCGTGTGCCAGGCAGCCATGTCCTCTAGGCTTTTGGAAGGGGTTGGAGGCAGTCCAGGAAATCACACCCTCCCCACCACTTCCCGATCCCTAGCCAGTTGGTGGAATTAAGCCAGCGGTTCTCAACCAGGGTGCGCAGGCACCATGGGGTGCTGTGTGATCCTTTAAAGGGTGATGCAGATAGTGTGAGGAGATACATGAGGTGTAAAGACCTCAGCAGATAAGGACAGGCTTAGGCTCTCCCTGCCTGGCTATACCTCCATCCTCTCTGCCAGCCCCTCCAGGAGGAGGTAAGCACGACGAAAAATAAATTAGTTTTTTAAAATGAGTGCTGCTCAATTCATAAAAAGTTATGGAGGGGACAACGGCTGCCCTGAGCCTAAAAAGGTTGAGAACCACTGGATTTGACACTGACTCATTCCCCAACTTCCATGTCCATTCTGTCAGGGACTCTGATCAAGCAGGACAGCCTGATCCAAGTACCACAGCAGCCACACCTGCAGTAAGCCTCAGCTAATGAACTCTGCACCCATTTAGGAACCATGAGCATCCTGCTTGGCTGCTGGGACCACTGCCTATCCATTTAGCACCAGCTGGGACCCTAGGTTTGCAGGCCGGTTAACAGATCTGCTGTGGCAAACCTCCTGGTTCCTGACCCTGGTTTTGGTTTACTTCTGGGCTTTGACTTTCCTTGTGGATCTGCTTCTTGGCTTGTGACGCTGGTTTAGCTCTACTTTGGGACTTCACCCTGTGGATCAGCCCTCAGATTGGTACTTGGCATCTGATCCCTGGATCCTGACCCTGGACTGTGGATTCTGACCCTAGATTTCCCAGTGGTTTGGGTAATATGGCTCCTATCCACTGATCTAGGCTCAGGCCACAGTTTTCTCTTAATGGTCTAACCATTAGGTCAGGCTGCCTGTGCCTCAGTCCCTTACACATTGTCAGTCTCTGTTCTGCTCTGAGAATTGGTACCACCCTGGAGCCCACCCATTTCTGACTCTTTC